TCTCCTGTTGTGTTCCCAGAGGCCAGTCTCACTCCAGAGAACCTCTCCACAGTTCTAGACATCATGAGTGACGGTCTGTGGAGGACGTTTGGTAGATATGCCAACATACCAGACTCTGAGTTGGACAGGATCGAGGCACAGTGTACCAGTGACAGAGAGTGCAAACAGGCCCTCATTCTCTCCTTCATCTCCTCACATCCAGCACCATCCTGGACTCTTGTGGCATGGGCTCTCTACATGACTGAGCAGGACGAGGGTGGCGGCAGTAGTCTCAGAGCATTGGATCACCTTCAGCAGCTGTTCCCCACTGGTACAGTCGACTTTCTTGGTTGGTCGACACTCCCTTCAACATGTACACTTTACTCCCGTGCAGGAAGATTCCGCTCCAAACAGATCTACGAGCAGGAGATGAAACGAGGCCACATTGAGCTGGACCTGGACAAAATGCTGCTGTTTGGCACGGCTGGCAGTGGCAAGACGTGCTCCCTCGCTGCACTGCTCGGAGTGGACCCTCCCACCATCCGACACAGCACTCCAGTCATGAAAAGACCAATCGAGGTCGTGTTCCTGGACGTCGACGGCAAAAAACAGTGGAAGAAACGAACATTAGACCAACTGCCAGACGCCATCGCTGAAGTAATGCGGTCGCGAATGCCACGGCAACAGTCAGTGGCACAGAGCAGTGGTGGCCCAGCCTCCCCCGACCAGCAATCTCCCCACACCGCAGCCAGCCAGTCAGCTCAGCCAACTCCAGAGAAGACGAGTAGCTCCACGTCTGAAGCAGCCAGGAAGAGCACAGCATCCTCGGAGGAGAAGCCCAGGGCCAGGGAGCGGGAAGAGACAGAAGGGGGACTGGATTCCCTGCTGCTCTCGAGTGCGGTGGACGAGGGGTTTGTACATCTCATCAACAGTGCTCCTCCCTCCCTGCTGCCCATCCTGCGACTGAAGCAGTTCCTCATGCTGGACTCTGGCGGCCAGCCCGAGCTTCTGGAGATGATGCCCGTCTTCCTGAGGGGTGCGTCCAAATTCGTCTACGTCTTGAAGCTCCACGAGTCTCTTGACAAGCGAGCGACGATCCGTTACTTCAAAGACGGCAAGCTAGTGTGGGAGTACCCAGCCTACCTGACCAACGAAGGGACCCTGAGACTGTGCGTGCGGACCATGAGGTCCCTGAACAACAAGAACCCCGACATCCCTCCCGCCAAAATGATGTTTCTGGCCACCCACCGAGACATGGTGGCAGACGAGCAGCTGCCGGAGTCCTGGACACTCTGCACAAGAGCTGAGGGAGATCCTCTTGCCTCAGTTCAGGGAGCAGCTCATCTACTGCGATACGACAGGACGACTTTGTCTTCACACTGAATGCAAAGCCGGAGAAGGAGGACAGGGAGTGTGCGGCGAGCATTCGGGAGTGTCTTAGTAAGGAGGGGGAGGGGGGGAAGGGAGGTGAAAGTGCCGTTGCGATGGTACGCTCTGTACCAGAAGCTGCTGTGGTGGCAAATGAACTGGGGAAGAAGGTGCTGCCTCGAGAGCTGTGCCAGCAGGTGGCAGAGTCGATGGAGATCGATGACGAGTCAGTGTGGGGAAGCCCTGAACTTCTTTGACGGTTTGACATGCTGTTCTACTTCCCCGACATCCTTCCCCAGCTTGTGTTCATGGAGCCACAGATGTTGCGGGATAAGGCTCGGAGCTGGTGCGAGACCTACCACATGAGGCAGGGAAAGAAAGGCGTGCCGAGAGAGAAGCTGAGGTTCCGTGACCACGGCGCAAGTGACGGAAAAGTTTCTGGGGCGAGTTCGGAGAGCCACTACGAGCCACCTCTGTTCACACCCAAGAGCTGGTGACCCTGCTAAAGGGGTTGCTGGTGTTTGCGGAGATGTCGGAGGACGTGTACTTCATGCCGTGTCTGCTGCAAGTGGTGGCGTGGAGGTGGTGGAGGAACACCGAGTGAGTGGCGGGAAAGCCCTGGCTCTTCACTTCCCCGACAGCGGTCCCCTGATGGGAACGTTCTGCTCCACTGTAGCTTACCTCCTGTCCCCCGAAAACAGTCACCCCTGCCCCTGGAGAGTGGTTCAGAACGAGGCAGGAGCTCCGGAATGCCTCCATCGCAACGTCATGAAATTCACCATCCCCAAATACGTCGGCACGTTTCACTCATCGATCACTTCACCCACTTTGAACTCCACCTATGCACCCACCCCAAGAAGGCAGCTCAGCTGTGGAAACGTGGCACACGACGCAGTGTTGCAGGTCTCAAGAAAGCAGGGAAGACCATCGGCTACACAAACAACACTCCAGTCCCAGCCATCGTATGCCCCGCCCATCCCCGCCCAGCCAAACCCCACCCGCAGTCGTGACAGATGGCAGTGTGGGCATGCTCAGCTCAACTCTGAAAGTTTGGAGACATTGACAAGGACTCTATTCCATGGCTGACCCTCTGCACGTCTACCTGTGAGTGTGGAGGTCCACCCACTGAGGCTCTAATTGGAATAGTCTCATTATGCTTTCCTTTCTTTTACCCTACAGCTGCTGATCTGGCCACGCCCTCTCTCTCCTCTTCATGTTCTGCAGTTCCCCCCACCTCCCAGCCTCCCCTCTCTGTCTCCACAGCTCCTGCTCCTCTACCACTGCCACCACTACTACCAACACTCCTGGTGAGTCTTGCATCTCTATGTGTCCTATTTTGATACTCATTCTTTCATACATGTTCCTCTACAGTGTCAGAGTCGTTCATAGTCTCCTATCCTATTGCCTCTATTCCCTCTCTCTCCCTGTCCTCTCCTCCTGTCTTCACTACCACTACTACCAACACTCCTGGTGAGTCCTCTATATTATGTATATGACATGCAACGCTATCACATACACTTTACTCTCTACAGTCAGCCAATCTGTCTCTACCTCCTCCACTACTGCCAGTGTCTCCACAGCTCTCATCCTGTCTCCTCCAGTCCTGGTGAGTCCCCTCTTCAAGAGCATTGCTGACTGTTTGATTTTGCCTTCTACTGTCTCTCTCTATACTCAGTCATTGAGTGTTCCTCCACTTCCTCCACTACTGCCACAGCTGCTATTCCTCTCTCCTCCACTACTAGCACCACTCCTGGTGAGCCTCTTTTAGAAACAGTCTTCCCTACTACCATAATGTGTGTATATACCCCTGATGTATTGACTGACTCTTACCTTTAGTTGTTGCTCTCTCTCTCTCACTTTCTTCGCAGGTGATGGTGTCTGTCGACCACTCTGCCAGAGCTACTTCGTCTGGAAATCCCGAGGGAATTGCCACAAGCCACACCAAATTTGGAATCTTCCTCCTCAACGACGAGACGGGGGATAAAGTGAACATAATCGAGTACAAAAACCGTGGGGATCCAGAGAGCATTTCTCGCAGCATTCTGGGGGAGTGGCTCAGAGGAAAGGGACTTCCCGTGACGTGGGAGACTCTGGTCAAGGCTCTCAGAGACACTAAACTTTTTACTCTCGCTGACAAAGTCCAGGCCGCAAAATTGTAACCACATGTTTTGTACACCATCTCTACACCACACTTCTCACCTCTATACCACACTCACCTTCTTCTCATCTCTATACCACACTTTCTTCTCATCTCTATACCACACTCACTTTCTTCTCATCTCTATACCACACTCACTTCTTCTCATCTCTATACCACACTCACTTTCTTCTCCGTGTTTTGTATACTGCAGTATAACTTTTGGAATATTATGTTTCTTATTGGAGCACATGTTTACTGTGATGCGCAAAGCTGTCCAATGGCACTTCTGAATAACGATATTCGTTACTGCTGTGGTTTTGTCCACAAGCATAATGCATTCCACCACTATGAGCTATAGTATGCATGTATATAGTACTATAGGAGCTGTAGTATGCAGTAGTCAACATGCATATGGTGTGATAGTCATGTTACCCAATCTTGTCTTGAGTCACTCCATTGACAAAACCAGGTCCCATAGTTATGTATGTACATAGGCTAAACTGCATGGTACAACTTGCCTCTCATTTCAAAGTGATTGTCTTTCAAAAGCCTATATAGGAACAAGGTCGCCATTATACACATCCATCACACACAGCTTTCATGTGTATTACCTTCATTTACTATCTTGTGTTTTGCACTAAGCTGGCATATTATGATCACTGAACACATACCCGCAATCACTGCATTTACTTAGTACTGTCACACAGCTACATCCCAGGGCCCCTAAATTGAGTATTTCCATTGATGAATGAACTAGCGTCTCAATAGCAAATATCATTACAGAGAGGGACACACATATAATTTGTGTCTGTAATTTCAACAGTGTGTGTGCGTGAGTGTTACTCTATTACCAGCTGAGGCGTGCTGACTTAACTAGTGGCTAGAGCTTGAATCATAGTACAGCAAATGGTGTGTTGAGGAGATCAGAGAAAGAGAGAGAGAGAGAGAGAGAGAGAGAGAGATGCGGGCCGAGGGTTAACTACATCCATCTACAGAATGTAAACAGACCAGTATAGTGTATGGGAATGGAGAGGACTTCCTCATATACCATTAATAGTGCAGAAGTGAAGTATTTGACAAGTGCTAGAAATGAACTGATGAGCTATAATAATATGAGGCGCCGCAAGAGGATGAAGGGGGACACGTGGGATTTCAAGAACGTCTGTGGAGAGATCTTTAGACTAATACATATCTAGTATCCCACCCTCTCCTCTCGCCTATGTAACAGTCTAGTTCACTATTGTACTAACCCTCCACTGGACACTTTGTGCGTGTCTGCTGGGTAGCTGATATACAATAGCCTCACTTATTATTATTATAATTATACTGGCTGTCTTACCAGTTTAATAAGATTTTTATGACATGGCCTTTATGGCCTTTATTTACCAGTTATATATATATTTTTTATGACATGCACTCTGCACGTAAAGAAAAGTTATCCTACACCGTAGCACAAAAACACCAAGTATTTAGAATTAATAGTGCAGAAGTGAAGTATTAATAAAATATTGACAAGTGCTATATAGAAATGGTGAGCTATAATAATAATAATATGAGGTTCTATATACCATAATATTGCTGTGATAGGGAGATCCCTGTACATATGCAACACTCTGCTACTGATATAGACTAGAGGGTTGAAGTGTATAGTCAGAGTGAGGCTAACGTTGTGATCAGGTCCTTGGGGCTCTGTCTGCCAGTACATATCATATGTACTGCAGCCATCAGTGGAAACCTGCAGCAACAAAATAATCATGGAATGGTGCAGTATCTTCGGGCTAAAATTAGTAACGTTACTAAAGATGGAACAAACCAATAGGGGCTAGTGCAAGGTTGTGGCCGTACATAAGGACTAAATTTAGAAATAATTATTTCAATAAACATAGGGGCCCAGTGCTGTTAGTAACTTTGTCTAAACACTTAACCAGCCACGGACACATGTGTCCAGAGCCTCCATAAGTGCATAAGAATTTATATAGGGGTTATAATACTAGGCGCTAATACTTCATACATTATTTTCTGCTTATTCAAGCAGATACCCATGGCGTCCAAGGGGTTTTAATTCAGCCCTTATGTATAATACTGCCACATTCCCTTTAAAATTGTTCTAGACCAATGTTTTTCCACCTAATGACAGTTGTAACTACTGCATTTTACTATGAATACCCCACTCTGAGGACGATTAGAGATTCGCTCATGGAATGGAATGCAATTAAACAGAAACACCTTTAATATTAATATCTCCCACTCTGAACAAATGGTGTCATGGAAAAGGTGAGACAAAAGATGGAGAGGTAGTGGGAAAAGGGTTTTAAAAATGCCGGACGGCGTCAGTGGTTTGAGGATCGTCCAGGATTTGAACCCAGATGAACCGGTTTGACAGACCAGTTTTGTAACCATACAAGCGAAGTAACCACTCAACAAAGCCAGCAACAGGTGACAAACTTTGGCTGTATTTATAGCGACCAAGTCAGCTCAATTCTAGAGCTAAACCACATTGTAAAGAATGTGGCATGAGGTTCTTAGCGTCACAAATGCGTGTACTTCAATGTATGGGTCTGATGGTGGGCGTCATCGATACATGCACTGTTGCAGTGAACGCCAACGTGCTGTACTTCAATGTATGGGTATGATGCGGTCTTTTCATAGATCACTATGCATGTTCTCTGGGCCTCCATCCAGCACATGTGTCGCTGTGCAGACCATATACCAGAGTCTATTCATTTGGAGTCACATGACAGGTAGTTCATGCATGAACACAGGCAGCGTTACTCTATAATCCGACATAATCGCCTTTCCGTACACATGCAAACATTGGGCAGTACTACGACTACTCTTCAACCTTGCCATCGTTGACTAGCACCTCATGGACCTCTTTAGCTGTCAGTGGGCCCTGCAGCTTCTGGCCTTGTAACATCTCCGCTTCCAGCTCTTCTATTGGCTGATGTGGAGGGGAAGGGAGAGAGGGGAAGGAGGGAGGGAGGGGAGAGGGGGGAGGGAGGGAGGGAGGAAGGGAGGGAGAAAGTTGAAATGTTGTTGTGTAAATGTCAAAGTATGAAATGGGTGACAGAGAAGGTAGTGAGATAAGAAAAGAGAAGAGAGAGAGTCAAGAGAAAGGAGTGAGGAAGGAACTTGCCAGTAGTGACAAAAGCCTCAGACACCCTCCTATTGCGACCAGCTGTATATACACGTGGCCATGAGATCAGTGATGTCACAGCTCTCCAGCAGGGTGGTGTACTGACAATCCTGAGAGATGGGGAGGGAGGAGAGATTTCAACTACTGCTTGGTGTGTTCTAAATGGAAAGTACCAATGAAACCTCAGAAAAAGGACCCTCAGAATAAAAGACACCTCTCTATAAAGAACACTTGGTTCTGCCCCATACTAATACATTAGTGACACCTCTGAATAAAGGACACCTCTCTATAAAGAACACTTGGTTCTGCCCCATACTAATACATTAGTGACACCTCTGAATAAAGGACACCTCTCTATAAAGGGCACTTGGTTCTGCCCCATACTAATACATTAGTGACACCTCTGAATAAAGGACACCTCTCTATAAAGAACACTTGGTTCTGCCCCATACTAATACATTAGTGACACCTCTGAATAAAGGACACCTCTCTATAAAGGGCACTTGGTTCTCTGCCCCATAACATTAGTGACACCTCTGAAAAAAGGATGTTTTTGATATTATTAAACAACTTCTTCCTTATCAAAGGTAAATTATATTCTTCTAACACTAGGTAGTTAGTTCTCCATCAATCTTCTAACTACATGGCAAGTAAGTGGGAGTCAATATATTTCCCATATCACTAGTATTGAAAAATGAGAGAAAGAGGACCTTATAGTAGAGAGAGATGAATCTCCACATCTCTTTGAGTCATATTCTTATGACTGCACTCTTGGTACTGGCACCATACCTATATACCAATAGAAAATAGAACAGTGCCTCCGTAATTACTAGTGATATATAGATATAGAACAAATGAACATTATTGTGGTGAGTGAGTGCGAGCAGTGCAATTTATCGCACGGTGCTAGGAAAGATGCGTTTCTTTTGAGCGTTACATGGAACATACTGTATGTGCAGGGGCAGTGTGTGGTACAACATATCTCACATTCAGACGACTAGCTAGGTAGGCTAGCTTCACTTGCCAGCAAAAAAGCTACAACTGGAAAGCAAGTGAAAGAATTGTGTGTATATAGCTAAAGTGAGGGTTTGATTGAGTATAGGAATGATGACTTACTTTAGTCCATCCACAAACCCAGCAGCTACTGTGACGATGGTCTGTGAGAGATTTAAAGGAGGAGTGATAGACTCAGTTGGGCGGTCTTTTGTCCGCACTCGTGTGAGCGTTAAGAAATGCAAAGCCAACGTTTTTTTTCGTTATTTAGTTCTTTCCTGAATCTGAGTATACATAACCCTGCCAAAAGACATCCAAACTGGTCATCAGGAGAGTTCCTCATTGTTCATCATGCACTGCATGTTTCGGCCTCTTCTCGCAGCATTCTGGGGGAGTGGCTCAGAGGAAAGGGACTTCCCGTGACGTGGGAGACTCTGGTCAAGGCTCTCAGAGACACCAAACTTTTTGCTCTCGCTGACAAAGTCCAGGCCGCAAAATTGTAACCACCTGTGTTTTGTACACCATCTCTATACCACACTTTCTTCTCACCTCTATACCACACTCACTTTCTTCTCATCTCTATACCTCACTCACTTTCTTCTCATCTCTATACCACACTCACTTCTTCTCATTCTATACGCACTCACTTTCTCTATCTCTATACCACACTCACTTTCTTCTCATCTCTAACCGCACTCACTTTCTCTCATCTCTATACCACACTCACTTTCTTCTCATCTCTATACCACACTCACTTTCTTCTCATCTCTATACCGCACTCACTTTCTTCTCATCTCTATACCACACTCACTTTCTTCTCATCTCTATACCACACTCACTTTCTTCTCATCTCTATACCACACTCACTTTCTTCTCATCTCTATACCACACTCACTTTCTTCTCATCTCTATACCACACTCACTTTCTTCTCATCTCTGTACCACACTCACTTTCTTCTCATCTCTATACCACACTCACTTTCTTCTCATCTCTATTAGAGAGAGTCAAGAGAAAGGAGTGAGGAAGGACCTTGCCAGTAGTGACAAAAGCCTCAGACACCCTCCTATTGCGACCAGCTGTACACGTGGCCATGAGATCAGTGATGTCACAGCTCTCCAGCAGGGTGGTGTACTGACAATCCTGAGAGATGGGGAGGGAGGAGAGATTTCAACTACTGCTTGGTGTGTTCTAAATGGAAAGTACCAATGAAACCTCAGAAAAAGGACCCTCAGAATAAAAGACACCTCTCTATAAAGGACACTTGGTTCTGCCCCATACTAATACATTAGTGACACCTCTGAATAAAGCACACCTCTCTATAAAGAACACTTGGTTCTCTGCCCCATAACATTAGTGACACCTCTGAAAAAAGGATGTTTTTATATTATTCCTGCAGGTGTCTACTATTCAGAGGTTTCACTATTAAACAACTGCTTCCTTATAATCAAAGGTAAATTATATTCTTTCTAACACTAGGTAGTCAGTTTCTCCATCAATCTTCTAACTACATGGCAAGTAAGTGGGAGTCAATATATTTCCCATATCACTAGTATTGAAAAATGAGAGAAAGAGGACCTTATAGTAGGAAGAGATGAATCTCCACATCTCCTGGAGTCCTATTCTTATGACTGCACTCTTGGTACTGGCACCACACCTACCAATAGAAAATAGAACAGTGCCTCCGTAATTTACTAGTGATATATAGATATAGAACAAATGAAACATTATTGTGGTGAGTGAGTGCGAGCAGTGCAATTTATCGCACGTGCTAAGAAAGAATGACGTTTACTTTTTTGAGCGTTACATGGAACATTACTGTATGTGCAGTGGCAGTGTGTGGTACAACATATCTCACATTCAGACGACTAGCTAGGTAGGCTAGCTTCACTTGCCAGCAATAAAAGCTACAACTGTAAGTAAGTGAAAGAATTGTGTGTATATAGCTAAAGTGAGGGTTTGATTGAGTATAGGAATGATGCTTACTTTAGTCCATCCACAAACCCAGCAGCTACTGCGACAATGTTCTGAGAGAGATTTAAAGGAGGAGTGATAAACTCAGTTGGGCGGTCTTTTGTCCGCACTCGTGTGAGCGTTAAGAAATGCAAAGCCAACGTTTTCTTTCGTTATTTAGTTCTTTCCTGAATCTGGGTATACATAACCCTGCCAAAAGACAACCAAACTGGTCATCAGGAGAGTTCCTCATTGTTCATCATGCACTGCATGTTTCGGCCTCTTTATACTCTCAACACACAGTACACTCCCAAATGAGGCGAGGCCACTCCACTCCTTGGAGTCCAGTATGTCTTTTGGTGATATGAGGGGGGGGGGGGATTTACAGGTATTTTTTGGTAGTATTAGCTTAATAATTACTTAACATTTGTACAAGGGGTACATATAGAGTTTAATCCTGCCCCCTCAGACATGATCAACACACAAACAGGTACATACTTTGCAGACTCTAAAAGTAAGGTCAACTACCAGCTTATGCTCAGCAATCACTTAACATTTGTACAAGGGGTACATATAGAGTTTAATCCTGCCCCCTCAGACATGATCAACACACAAACAGGTACATACTTTGCAGACTCTAAAAGTAAGGTCAACTACCAGCTTATGCTCAGCAATCACTTAATGTTTGTATAAGGGACACATATTTGTACTTAGAGTTTAATCCTTGTTTCATGTGTCAGGATAACGCGCTTCTACACGCTGCTACGAGGTGAGTTAAACCTACTGTGAAGTTGTAGGTCGATTGTTTGAACAGAGCCTGCTCACTGCACACCATGGCGTGCGTGTCGGACATAAACGGGGGCTGCATCTAGGAACCTATGTTCACTCAACCACTACAACACAACCGTGCCAACGTATCCCATGTGGCACTCTGGGCCCTGGCAACTACTACTGATACATAATGCATCTAGTCTACCTCTCACATAATTACATACACAGCACTACAGGAAGGAAGTCAAGACTACCATCACATTATGACACCAATTGCACCATTTCAAATTGCAGTGTGGGTATAGATATTTTTATTTACCACCTTTAGGAAACCAAGGCAGAAGCACACAAGAAGCTGTGACTGGTAATAGCCTATGCTTGTTTATACACAATACATTAAGAAATGGTATCATTATGCGTCAGGACAAGGAGGTGACGTGAGAAAGAGAAGAAATGTAAAAGAGCAGGAATCACACCCAAACCAAAATGGTACATAAGTATAATACCACTTCTTCTGTGCAATACTTATTCTTACAATTTTCCTTCAGATGATGATAGAATTACATCCAGTGACACTACTTCACATTCAGAAAGTGCACTCTGTAAGTATGTGGCTTTACATAGTGCATGGCACATGCCTATAATTGGGCACTCATGTAAGAAATGGTATTATTATGTGTCATATGCTTGTATATGCATTTGGAGACAGAACGCAGTGCCACAATAAAGACAACACAACAAACGGACTGATTTAGAAAATGTTTTTATTGAATCACACTCAAAATGAAAAGCACTGAAGTGCAAACCCTCGGCGAACTGCGCATGCGCGGTATGTTAGTATGCATTTACTCGCGGTCTCCCGCTAGTATATAGCTCGCAGAGAGTCTGACACAGGCTAGCTACAGTAGTAGATTAGCATGCGAGAGTCGATACATGCCCTTCGTTGTGACTTCTTGTGCCTTCAAAATACACAGAGCAAGCAGACCCGGTCCTGTGCTAAATATAAGCGCATGCGCATTTTCCGCAGCGATAAAAATGGCCGACTACGCATTAGCCGTACAATGGTGGAAGCGCTCTAGCCTTGCAACGGAGCGTTTTCAGAGAAAACCATTCGAAATTTCTGACCTTCATTGCCCGTTCAGTAAGTGGTATCCTTTGTGCGACGAATGAACACTCGAGAAGTGAGATGAAGAGTAACAGACTGACTGACAGACAGACAGACAGACAGACCCAACTACTGTAACCCTCGCTGCGCATGCGTGCCGAGGGTTAACTACTAGTGTCGACCCCTCTCTAAGGACACTCCTGAATATAGGACACCACTTTAACATGAGACTGCTCTTGCACACAATTTAACCACTAGGAAAGGACACCTCACACAATTTAACCCCTAGAAAAGGACCTCACACAATTTTAATACACATGTAAGCTCCATTCCATTAGTGTATGAATTAAAGGGGTTCCATTGTTATCCGATTTCCATTACCTCATCTTACCATAAGTGAATAACCTGTTCCCAGTGAGAGGAACATCTCTGAGAGTACCCACATGGTTGAGAACTGCCACATTATGTCCATTGCTCAGTAGGTAGTGGACAAATGATCTGATGTAGAACGTCTCGCTGCAGTTTCCTATGCCTATAATATAGTGAGAGAGAAGTTCAAGCTTGCACCGAGTTCAGCTGCAATAACAAAGCCACACCCCCCACTCCCATACAAGTTCTCTGTACAGTAATGTGTGTGTTGCATGACTTGTCAATAAAAAAAACAACAAATTCCAGCCCTTCTTCAGCAAGTGCAGGCTCTCCTCAAAGCAATAGCATATCATACCTCACAACCACACGAGGTTCCTAATGTGTAAAGGACACGATACACAATGAAACTCTATGAGATTAAGTCTCATGCAACTTCAAATGGGTATGATAGGCCATTCAACTCAGCTGCACGAAATAGAAGGAATTTCTATTACATCTCATGGACACATGATATCCATACATTGAGAATGCTTGAGACAAAGTCTCATACAAATGTTTGGTGTCGTGTGTATATATAATGGCCCTGCATGAGCACATACCGGGACAGAGGAGGAAGAAGAGAGAGGAGGTGGAGGGGTGCTGTGGCTGGTAGAGGTCATAGGTCACAGTGAACCCATCGGGAGTGGAGAGAGACCGTCTATCTCCCACGGGAGATGGGAAAAAGACGTGGCCCACGAGGACGTGTAGGCCGTCTGAATATGACCAATG